CTGTCCCTCCTCTCACTAAGAATGCAGCTTCACAATGAATGTAAAATCGATGCTGTCCAGGAGGTGGGAGGGTCTGGGAGGGAGGGTCTGCTGCTGATTTGCTGGAATGTGTCTGCTGACTGTGAGGTACAGGGTCAAAGTTCACTCAATGATGACGAATAGGGGGCGGACTGAACAGCGCATATGTTTGCCGTCCATGGCGAATGCGAACAAGCGACGCCAGCGAACTGTTCGGGACATCACTGGTCAGCACTAATTAACTAAACAATCAGTGGAAGGCAGCAACCCTAAAAAGGGGGTCCCTCTCAACACTTTTAAAAAGATCTAAAAATGTCCCAAAAGAAGGGAAGGGCTGTGCAACATATATCGCAAAACAATAAAACAAGTCAGTATGTAAGAAAATACAAAATATATAGTCCCAAGAGGAAAGTTCTCACATATAAAAATGCCTCTGGGCTAGAGGTAATTGCAGTTGTGGATGTTTGATAAGACGTAAATTCCTTAGTTTTTGAGGATATATTTTTGCTTTTTTGTCTCTTTTATATATATGTGGATACCTAAGAAACTTGAAAAATATATCCTCCAAGCCTAAGGAATTTACGCGAACTTTCCTATAATGAAACTATATGTCCTATTAGGACTATATATTTTGTATCTTCTTATCTACTGACTTATTTTATTATTTTGCTATATATGTGGCACAGCCGTTCCCTTCTTTAGTGACATTATATACATATATCTTGTCCACTTAAATGAAGCTTTTTATCCATCTGTAGACAGAAGCATGGTACTCTGAGCAGTCCTCAACTAATTAGATAATGATCAGTTATGTGCTGCAGTTGTTATCCATGCTATCAATGACTCCACCTATTGAGAATGGGCCAGGAATGTGAAAATTGTCCAGGAACTGAGGAGGATAACCTAGCCAAGTAGCTATTTTTGTGTTGATAAAAGAAATAGGATTCTAACTGTTTCAGACCATAGTTTCTTTCCAGTCCTTGGCTCTCAGCACGTTTTCTGAAATGAATGCTTTATGGACCTGAAGAAATAGAGATGAAAATATTCTTTCAATAATTTCTTGTATAACAAATAATATACATACATAAGGTGGAGCTAATGAGTTTAAGTTCAATGTATCAGGATAAGGAATCTTCCTCACAAGTAAAGAGCCATTAGTCACATATGGCTCAGATGGTTAGCACTGCTGGACTATATAAAGGATGTCCAACTCCTTTTTCCTCCCAGTCCTTTCTCTGTGTTGCTATTGGTCTGACCCACAGGATACCAGAAGTGTTGGTCAAAGGTCCTTTATTGGTTAAAATATAACAATATCAATATAATAAAATAAATAAATACCAGATAGTGAACTCACTGGTTGACTCAGTAGTCCATAAAAATTGTCCAATATGTGTTTCGCTCTGTAAAAGGAGTTTCCTCAGTTGGTTTTAAGTCTATTCTGAATCCTCTTCTTTTTAAACACCCCGCTTTCCATTTAGTTCCGGTGTGCTCCTTCCGGTATGTGAAACGCAATGTGCGTTCCAGCGTGCTACGTGGATGCATCTCTTCTTCTGGTTTACCGTCTCTCATGCCGAGTGGAACACTAACATGCATTCCAACATGTCACGTGGGTATCTCCCTTCTGCGTCCTGAGCTAATACATCCATGTTTACACAAGGTAGGTTTCACTGATCGAGGGAGTGAGCGGTCCCTCCATGTCTTTAACCTTGTGGACCGCAGCATTAGTTCGTGCATTCCATATAGGTATTGAAAATTCATAAAACAAACATAATAATTCTTCTATACAGTATTGTAATTCTATACATCATAAGTAAGTAAAGAAAAGAAAAACAGTGTTAAAAACCTGATATATTAAAAATATGTATTAAAAAACATATGTCATTGTTAAGAAATATGTGTGCATAGGTGTATTTAAAAAAAAATCTATTCATTAGAAGTGTGTGAGAAATGCATATCGATACAGATAGGTGACGTAAAGTGCAATAAGTGGTTTCCTAGGGATTGGAGGGTTAACTCATAAAGTGACACAGTTCAAAATCTTGATTTAGGCCTTGGGGGGGGTCATGGTATTAAAATTAAAAATGAATTTAATTTCCTCCATCACAATTATTTTGGTGTAGTCTCACCCTCTCCAATCTTTCTTAACCAATTTAATAGTGCAAAAGAATAATCCTTTTGGATTTTGATTGTAAAACAACTTAAAATTGTTGGAGACACTGTGTGTCTCCAATGCTTTCTTGATGTTTCTCACATGCTCCGCTATTCTTATATTTACACAACAGATAGTTTTTCCTATATATAAGAGATTGCAAGGGCATTTTAATAAATATATCACTCCTTTAGAGTTACAGGTTAAATGATCTTTGATTTAATTATTTTTTTTACTAATATGTGGTTCCATACCTGTTATATTCCTGTCCGCCCGCACCTCCCATGCCTCACCCTTCTGTCAGTCCCTACATTGGCTTCCTATAAAATATAGATCTCAATTTAAAACTCTGGTTCTTGCTTTCAAATCTCTACATAATGCTGCTCCCACCTATCTATCCTCCCTTATACACAAGTATGTCCGGTCTAGGCCCTTACGATCTGCTGAAGACCTACGTCTATCTTCTGTCCGTACTCCCACCTCTGATGCTCGCCTTCAAGATTTCTCGAGGGCTGCACCGTTCCTGTGGAACTCGCTTCCCTCCTCCGTTAGATGCTCACCCAGTCTCCACTCCTTCAAAAAATCGTTAAAAACCCACTTCTTCATAAAAGCGTATCAATTAAACTGTTAATAGCTCCTGACTGATTCCTCTTCTGCAACTGTCACTAGTCTAATACTATCCTTACCTTTTTGTGTCATTTTATCCCACTCCCTCTAGCATGTAAGCTCATTGAGCAGGGCCCTCAACTCCTCTGTTCCTGTGTGTCCAACTTGTCTGGTTACAACTACATGTCTGTTCGTCCACCCATTGTAAAGCGCTGTGGAATTTGATGGCGCTCTATAAATATGATAATAATAATATGCCTTATCCTGCTTCCTGCCATCCTACAGGCTAAGCAATGGCCATATCCATAAAAGCCTTGGCTTAAAAAAAAATTACTTTTAAGTACTGTTGGTTTAAGGCTGCTATGGACTAAGGTGCTTTTTAACCCCTCAAGGACACATGACATGTGTGACATGTCATGATTTCCTTTTATTCCAGAAGTTTGGTCCTTAAGGGGTTACATTTCTTGCTCTTCTATATATTATTTTAGGTTTTGGTGGTAGAACGGTTTTAAGGATCGGATTTTCCTGTAAGATGTGCCAATATTTCTGAATTATCCTACGTACTTTCCTATTGTTTTCATTGAAGTTACAAATGAATGGGATGTCATTCTTGTTCCATTTTTTTATTTTCTTTTGTTTGTATGTTAATAGATCCTTTCTTGGAATAATTCTTACTTCCTCTAGGACTGATTGCAGTTTTCCTTCATCATATCCTTTTTCCAGGAATTGTGTTTTAATCCTATCTGCTTGTATCATGTAGTTGTGGTCATCTGAACAATTCCACCTGATTTTCTAAAACTATCCTTTTGGAGCGTTTGCTAACCAAGGGGTGTGATGGCAACTCTCCTTCTTAATATATCAGGGAACTAGGAAGTAAGATAAAGAAAAGGACCTCCAAGGTAATATTTTCAGAAATATTACCTGTGCCGCGCGCTACAGCTGAAAGGCAGTGGGAGATTAGAGAAGTCAATGCGTGGCTTAAGTCTTGGTGCAGGAAAGAGGGTTTTGGGTTTTGAAAGCACTCGGCCGATTTGGTGCTTGGTTACAACCTGTATGGTCATGATGGATTGCACCTAAACGGAAGAGGGGGATAGGATGGCTAGAAGGTTGGAGGAGATTTTAAACTAGCAGTAGGGGGGGAGGGTCAAAGCAATCTAGAAAATGGAGATAGGAGATAGGGCTTTAGCTCAGTATAAGGGGGGTGGAGATGGGGAAGGGTAAAGCTCAGATCAGAAGAGGTATGTAATATTGATGAAAATTCACAAAAAGTACAAAATGCCTCATGATAATATTAAATGTATGCTAATATTATAATGCAAAGAGCCTATATAACAAAATGGGGGAACTAGAGGCAATAGCATACACTAAACAATATGATATAATAGGCATAACAGAAACATGGTGAGATGAGACACATGACTGGACATTTAACTTAAATGGGTACACGTTATTTAGGAAGGATAGGAAGAACAAGAAGGGTGGTGGAGTATGCTTGTATGTCAAACATGAGTTAAAGACACATTTTAGGCATGTGGAGTGTGACGAGGAAAATGTGGAAGCTTTATGGGTAGATATCTGCTTGGGGCAAACAAAGGGAAATCAATTATTGGTTGGGATATGTTATAAACCACCTAATGTAAATATTAATGAGGAACAGCTGTTAGAGCAAATTGGGAAAGCTGCAAATCAGGGTAACACGTTAATTATTGGAGATTTTAATTACCCGGACATAAATTGGGATATAGTGACTAGTACTTCAGCAAGGGGAATCAGGTTTTTGAATGTGTTAAATGACACCTCTATGTCACAACTGGTACAAGCACCAACTAGAAAGGATGCTTGTCTGGATTTCGTTATAACAAACAATGTTGATCTTTTGACCAACATTCAAGTAGGGGAGAATTCGGGAAATAGTGATCACAATATGGTAACTTTTGAAATAAACTCAAAAAAGCAAAAGCATGGGGTATACTAAAACGTACAATTTAAAAAAAGCCAATTTCAAAAAGATTAGGGCAGCTCTACAACATATCAACTGGCATAAACTCCTTAGTGAAAAAAAACACTGAGGATAAATGGAAACTATTCAAACAAATAATAGAAAGGTACATTTCTCAGTATATACCTTTGGATAATAAATAGTGATGTCCCGAACTGTTCGCTGAACGGTTCGTCACGGTTCGCCGTGAACGGTTCGCCGCGGACTCCAGTCAGCAGACACATTCCAGCCAATCAGCAGCAGACCCTCTCTCCCAGACCCTCCCACCTCCTGGACAGCTCACTAAGAATGCAGCTTCAAAATGGATGCTGTCCAGGAGGTGGGAGGGTCTTGGAGGGAGGGTCTGCTGCTTATTGGCTGGAATGTGTCTGCTGACTGGAGTCCGCGGCAAACCGTTCAAGGCGAACCGTGGTGAACCGTTTGCGAACCGTTCGGCGAACAGTTCGGGACATCACTAGTAATAACTATAAAAGAAACAAATTGAAACCAATGTGGCTTAGTAGAGAAGTAAAACAAGAGATTAAAAATAAGAAAAGGGCATTTAAAGCATTTAAAGGACAAATCAGAGGCATCCTATATAAGATATAAGGAAGCCAATAATGCTTGCAAAAAGGCAATTAAAGTGGCTAAACTAGAAAATGAGAAATTGATAGTCAAAGAATGCAAAACCAATCCTAAACACTTTTTCAAGTACATCAATTCTAAAAAAACAAAAAATGAAAGTGTAGGTACACTGGAAACAGAGATGGGTCTGTTAGCTAATGAAGACCAGGAAAAGGCAGACGTTTTAAATAACTATTTTTCTTCAGTATATATTAATGAGGATCCTATGGCAAGAGATATGCAAATGATTTCTGCAAAAAAGTTGCAGATAACTTGTGATTGGATAACTTGAGACAAGGTGCTACAGCTGTTAAAGAAAATGAATAAAGCTCAGGGGCCTGATGGTATTTACCCACGAGTACTTAAGGAGCCAGGGTGGGGGCCGGGGGGAGAACATTAGGTCCCCCCTTATTGTTATTTAGGGCCCCCACCCGCTGTGCAGGTGTGGGGGCAGGTGGGGAGGACATTAGGCCCCCCATTTTTATTTATGGCCCCCACCCACCACTCAGTGGTGGGGACCAGGGGGAGGTCATTAGGTTCCCCCCCAATTTTTATTTATAGCCCCCACCCACTGCTCAGGGGTGGGGCCAAGGGGGGAGGACAGTAGGTCCCCCCTTATTGTTATTTAGGGCCCCCACCCACCATGCAGGGGTGGGGGCTGGGGGGAGGACATTAGGTCCCCCCTTATTGTTATTTAGGGCCCCCACCCGCCGTGCAGGGGTGGGGACCGGCGGGAGGACATTAGGTCCCCCCCAATTTTTATTTATGGCCCCCACCGCCGCTCAGGGGTGGGGGCCGGGGGGGGAATACTGTGGGAATTAGGGAGTCATCTACTAAGCAGCTGCTTATTTTATGTTATTTTTAAGTGATTTCCCTATCCACATTTGTTTGCAGGACACTTGTCTTACTCTTACCCCCATTTTACTTCCTTTTGCAGCCCTCTAGCCCTTTCCAGTAGTTTTTTAGAGCCATTTTTGTGCCCAAAAGTTCAGGTCCCCATTTACCTCAATGGGGTTCGGGGTCAAGTTCAGGGTCAAGTTCGAGCCCGAACCCGGACTTTTTTTTCAAAGTTCGGCCGTACCAGCCGGACCCGAACATCCAGGTGTCCGCTCAACTCTACTCTTTACAAATTGCTGGTAAGACCACACCTTAAATATGCTGTGCAATTTTGGGCACCTGTTCTAAAGAAGGATATCATGGCACTAGAAAAAGTGCAGAGACAAGCTACAAAATTGATAAAAGGAATGGAGCATTTTAGTTATGAAGAAACCATTTAAGTCTCTTTAGTTTGGAAATATGAGGGGATAGGATAACATTATACAAATATATTCGGGACCAGTACAAACCATTATCTGGAAATCTATAATTAAACAGGGCTATACATAGGACCCGAGGTCACACATTTAGGCTGGAAGAAAGGAGATTTCATCTAAGGCAAAGAAAAGGTTTTTTTTTTACAGGAAGAGCAATAAGGATATGGAATTCTCTGCCTGATGAGGTTGTTTTATCTTAGTCCATACAGATGTTTAAACTGTCATTGGATAAATACTTGCAAAAACATAACATACAGAGATATAATTTCTAATTAGTGGGGTAATAGCTGATTGATCCAAGGAGACATCTGACTGCTATTTTAGGGTCAAGAAGGATTTTTGGAAAATTGAAAGTGCTTCAGACTGGGTTTTTTGCCTACTTTTGGATCAACAGCAAAAACATATGTGAGGAAGGCTTTACTTGATGGACGCAAGTCTCTTTTCTGCTATGTAACTATGTAACTATATCCATTGGCGTCAACTTCTTTAAATACGTTTTTAGTAGTTATACATGATTCTTTAATACAGATATTCAAATCTAAGAAATTTATTTCCAAAGTGCTCTGTTGCGGGGACAAAACAATACCCCATTCATTGTTATTGAAGTAAGTTAAAAAAGTATTGAGGAAGCTCCTTTTATGGAGCGAAACGCGTTTGGACATTTTTTATGGACTACTGAGTCAAGCAGTAAATTCACTATCTGGTATTTATTTATTTATTTTATTATATTTATATTGTTATATTTTAACCAATAAGGGACCCTTGGACAACACTTCTGGTATCCTGTGTGTCAGACCAATAGCATCACAAAGAAAGGACCAGGAGGAAAAAGGAGTTGGACATCCTTTATATAGTCATAGAAACATAGAATGTGATGGCAGATACGAACCATTCAGCCCATCTAGTCTGCCCAATATTTTTAAATATTTTTAATTAGTCCCTGGCCTTATCTTAAGTCTAGGATAGCCTTATACCTATCCCACACATGCTTAAATTCCCTCACTGTGTTAACCTCTACCACTTCAGATGGAAGGCTATTTCATGTATCCACTACCCTCTCAGTAAAGTAATAATTCCTGATATTATTTTTAAACCTATGCCCCTTTAAAAGACTATGTCCTTTTATTGTGATTGTTTTTCTTCTTTTAAATAAAGTCTCCTTCTTTACTGTGTTGATTCCCTTTATGTATTTAAATGTTTATCATATCCCCCAGTCTCGTCTTTCATCCAAGCTATACATGTTAACTCCAGCAGCGCTTACCATCTGAGCCATATGTGACTAATGGCTCCTTACTTGTGAGTGAGATTCCTAATTCTGATAACATTTACATTTGATTTGTACCAGACACATTTTTTGGAGTATTTCGTTGAATATGGCTTTTCTGGAAAGTAGAAAATACACAGCAGACAATATTGATCAAATGTTTGCTACGTCAACAGACTCATTAAGTAACAAAAGTTACATTCATTCTGATAACTGTAGATAACACCTAGAAAAAGCCTTACTTAAAGAAATGAAAATGAAATGGGAGGTAGCCACCCTTAAAAAGTATGTTAGAGAACAAATCACTCCAAGAGGCTTAAGGTTTTATAAAAATCCCACCTTTGATAAAGACAACTCAGGATTTATGACAGGGTGGAATAAAATGTTGGAAGGTTTTTCCTTTAGTATGATGGGATACATTGTATCCAGAAGAGAGGAAAACCTTACACAACTAGATGAGGAAATAAAAAACTTGAAGGAAAAAATAAGTGATACCCGAAGTGTATAACAAAATAATGAAGGAGATTAAAACTAAAATAGATAAAGTAGAAAGAGAAACTATCGAGATTAAAAGGAGAAGGCACCTGAGAGACACTAATGATTACAAAACTGGAAAGAAATATTTTTAAAAAATTCAAACACAAGAAGAGAAGCTAGGAAACTAAACATATACACTAGAAAAGGCAAAAAATCATATAGCAAGGAACTAAATAGTATCCAAACCCAGAAATAATCAAAGAGAAATTAGTAATAGATGGCAAAGAAACAAAACCCCAAGCCCCATAAGACGTAGGCATAATTCGCGACATGATTTTCAACCCAGATATGTAAGAGATCAAGATAGGACATGCGACCCAGTATATAATCCATGACAGATACATTGGAAAGATCAAGGTAGAACCCTCTCCTCTGTATGCAATCCTCCCCTTTTATATAAGAGTTATAGCCAGGTAGTACAACAAAGCTCCCAAAGGAGACCTAGAAGAAAGGGAATAAATACCATACAAAATGAACATGAAAGAAGTTCAAGAGAGTCAAGAACATCTACAATAACCTGTGGAAATAGGTTTGAAATATGGGAAGAACAGGCCTGAGCATCATATCAAGAACCAACACCTTTTTTTCGGAAGGACCCAATGTTGGAGAGATTGAAACGGACACAACCAACACGATCATGGGAATCTCCAGGCAAACGCCAAAGATCTACAGAAGAAAGAGCAATAAAGGAAGAAGAAATAAGAAACAGGGAGACGAGGACAAAGAAATGAATCTAGAAGGAATTTTTAATTTGACAGGGCAACAACTATCTATTAAACAGGCAGATGTCCAACAAAAAGGTTTAACATTTGCCCCTACTACAGATCTCAATAAATTTGATTTTTACATAGATATGAGCAAATTTGTTAGACACCTCTGCCTTATATTATTTTACAATAAAGAAGATAGAAGACAAGAGGTTACAAGGTAACAGAATATGTACACACAAATTTGAAAGCAAAATCACATTTCTTTCCCAAACATCTCATTTCGGAATAAATAAAAACCTTTGAATCAATGGTTATGAGAGAAGTAAAAAATATCAAACCACTGAATAGATAACAACAAAATATGTTGGTTAGAGAAAAAAGAGCAGTGAAGGAATTTAAAGAGAATAAGGATATGATCATTAAGCCTGCGGCTAAAGGGGGAGGTATAGTAGTCCTCCCCAAATATAAATACATAAAGGAAGCAGAGAGAATCCTTTCTGTTCAACTGACATATCAGAAATTGGATACAAATCCAACAGAAAATGTTAAAAAGAAATTTGAAGATTAGATCAATAAAGGCTTAGAAAAAAGAATCCTAACAAAAAGTGAAGCAATCAAGGTACCTATCAACTTCTCACCCCAGAACGCTGGTAAACTGTTACCTTCCCAAAGTACATAAAAAGAGGGACACCCCCTGGGAAGGCCCATTATAACAGGCATTAATTCAATTTTAGCTAAGGTATCCGAATATTTAGATAATCTACTCCAACCGATAGGAGTCCAAAATCCAGCATACCTAAAAGACACCATACACATTTTACAACTTTTAGAAGAAATAACATGGAAAGAAGAAAGTCTTTTAGTTACATGCGATGTCACATCTCTTTACAGTATAATACCTCATGTAATAGGTTTGAGAGCAGTCCAACATT